GCGTGGCTACGGTGGTAACCGCAGACTGGATGGGACTAAGAAGTTCAATCAATTAATTCCGACTTTGCAAGTTCTTTTTTTTTTTCCTGCGAAAAGTTGAAATTGACTCATTGATTGAACCTTTTTTTTTTTTTTTGCACACACGGCGGAGGCCTAAAGCGAAAAGGTTTTATAAAACCCAGCTGAAGGCCTAGGACTGGGGCTATGGCGCAGGTGCCCACAGAGAGGGCTCTGAGTGCCGCCTCTGGCACCCGTGCCATAGGTTCGCCACCACTGGCCTACGCCTTGATGGTCGCATCCCCGTATGGGTCCGCAAGGAGCAGTCCAAAAAGGGCAGGGGGAGGAGGATTTGAAGATGGCCCACGACCTCCTTTAGAGCAGTGTTTCTCAACCTTGACAATTTTAAGGCATGTGGACTTCAACTCCCAGAATTCCACAGCCAGCAATGCTGGCTGTGGAATTCTGGGAGTTGAAGTCCACATGCCTTAAAATTGTCAAGGTTGAGAAACACTGCTTTAGAGGGAGCGCGTGTTCGGGGAAGCAGAACTTCAAGCAGCCGCTTGCAAGAAGGGAACATCCCTGCCATTAGGGTCAAAGCCACCGCGCTGAGGCAGCTTGTTATCGCCCCGACGCCGCGATGCTATATATCACTAGTGAGGAAACGCCTTTGTCAGAGCTGTCCGTCTTCCGGAAGAACCGCGGCGGAGAAGCGCTTTTTTGGGAGATTCTCCCGACCCGACCCGACCCGCCAGCCAATCCCCCCAGAAATTAACGTGGCTTTTAATCCGAAAAAAAAAAAGCAGATCTGTTTGAGATTTAGGAAGACGAGGGAAGCCAAAGACACCAAAACGCGTCCCGGGGAAGCCAGCGGGATTTACTCGGGGAGTTTGCAAGCTCCGACTCAGAGAGCCCCATCCCTAGGGGGAGGGGTTGAGAAAGAGAGCCAGTCCGGTGGGCCAGATCAACCTGGCTTTTTAAAATAAGCCCGGATTGAACTTAGACCTAGATTTAACAGAGCCTCGGCGTTGGCACAACCTGAGGGGGCGGGGGGGGAGGAAGCTGGAAGGGAGGACCGGATCGTGATTAGAGGGGACGCGGCCCCCGCAGCGGCTCTCAGTTGCGGGTCTGTGGCGCCGGAGGCCCTTTAAGCCCAGAGTTCTGCCATGAAGAAATCTCGACGGCTTCGGTGGGGGATTTACTTTCCTCTCTGGGGGACCGCGCCTCCCCAAGATTTGAACGCGGTTTTACGTCGCGGATGATCCTTCCCCTTTCTCTTTTTAAAAGCCCCAAGTTTTGCCCCAGCTACTGTCTGCTTGGTCCGGGATCGCTGTCCTTAAAACATCGGGACGGTCTTGTTTCCCCCATCAGAGAACTCTTCCTGGTAGCAATTCGGAGGTTCCGATTCAGTTGCCCCCTTTTTATAGTTTGCGCAGCTTCCTATGAAAAGGCCGGAGAGGGTAGCGGTGGGAGGGGGGGGGGTTGGGGACTCCTGACTCCCAGGAGCTGCGGCAACCATCTGCCTGTCTCCGGGACAGCTCCCTTTGGAGCCGCGACAGAATCTGCCCATATAAAGGGCAAGCTGCGATTCGCTCGGCTCGGATCGCAGCAGTCACAGGACCGCTGGGGTGAAATTAGAGGAGTGTCGGGAGAGGCAGAGCAGCTGGGGAGCGGTCTCGCCCTTGCGGGCCTCTCCCTGCCTCCTAGCCCTCCGAGACTTTCCAGCGCAGAGATTTCCCGGGAATGCCCGACCAACTCCGTTGGCTGGCTTCGGTGGTATTCTCCCTCCCTTGGCGGCAGCCCTTTTTCAGGAAAGCCAGGCGGTTTGGAGCCTCTTGCTTCTCTTCCCCCCCCCCGCCCACCCGTCATTAATTACATTAATTAATTGAACTGAATCGACTCTCAGTCAAATGTTCAGTTCAGGCCAATCTTGCTTTTGGTCTTACTGTGAACGTTTTTCACAATTCTGCGCCCTTAATTGGTGGAAACTAGTGGAGTCTGGTTAATTTTAGCCGGTATAGATTTGATAACTGTAAATCCTCTTTCCTTTATACAAAGAAAAACCATCCACTATGGCAAACGCCTGTTGACATTATTTGTTGTTGTATGTTTCCAGGAGTACTTTTTTTTTAAAATGCATATTAGAGGGATAATTGGAACAGACGGTGGAGAGCATGGGTGGAAGGAATTAGAGACTAAGAGTTGATGATAGCTCAGAGGTAAAGGGTTTAATCTGTTTTCTTCCAGGCTTTTGTTTAAGACAACTCAAAACAATCCCTGCAATGGACAAAAGCAGACTTTGTATATTTTGGGCAGTGTAGACACTTGTCCCTTCTGCACAAACAGGTAGCTGCTCCTCCTGTTCTTGTCAAAGCAGATCTGAATGCCATGGATCCCTTTCTCATACCACCCTTGCGAAAGGAACAATCTAGGAGAGACCAGATTATTCTCCAGGAAAGGGCCTGAGCCTCTGCTGTCTCCCATATACCCAAACCAAGGATCCTCTCTCTTCTCTTTTGCTGCAAACTCAGGCCACTTTTGCATTGTAAGGCTGTCCCTTCAAAGTTACCTTGTGGTACAGAAGAGCTTGCTGCTAAGGAAGCTGGTGCAGAGTTTCAATCAGTGGCCTAATGCAGTGTTTCCCAAACTTGACAATTTTAAGGCATGTGGACTTCAATTCCCAGAATTCCACAGCCAGCAACGCTGGCTGTGGAATTCTGGGAGTTGAAGTCCTCATGCCTTAAAATTGTCAAGTTTGGGAAACACTGGCCTAATGTAAGCCATTCCAATTTGTAAAATGGGCAGGCCAAGACACTGATCCAATTGGGATGCTGCAGATGTCATCAACCATGCAATTCTGTGCAAGTTTCTCTTTTTTTCTTGGAAGCAGGCCCTGTTGAATTAGTGGGAGTTATTCTTTAATAAAACCTAAGACTGTTATGGGTGTGAAACCCTTTTGAGCATTTCTTATGCATTTAAGAATTAAACTCAGCAGGGCTTCCTCTGCAAGAAATTGCTGTGTGGCAGATTAGGACCTGGGTTACAGGATTATTGTTTAACATCACATTCCCCCAGCAATTAACCGGTAGTGCTGACCTGGTCTTTTTTTTTTTTTTTTAGAAGTTTTATTTTCAAAATAAATTCAGATGTTCCACTCAAATGATGGTTTTCGGATCTCAAGATTGTGAAGTTCTATATCTCTAAAGCAGTGTTTCTCAACCTTGACAATTTTAAGGCATGTGGACTTCAACTCCCAGAATTCCAAATATACAAAGTCTGCTTTTGTCCATTGCAGGGATTGTTTTGAGTTGTCTTAAACAAAAGCCTGGAAGAAAACAGATTAAACCCTTTACCTCTGAGCTATCATCAACTCTTAGTCTCTAATTCCTTCCACCCATGCTCTCCACCGTCTGTTCCAATTATCCCTCTAATATGCATTTAAAAAAAAAAGTACTCCTGGAAACATACAGAATTCTGGGAGTTGAAGTCCACATGCCTTAAAATTGTCAAGGTTGAGAAACACTGCTCTAAAGTATAATTTTTGAAGACAATCCCAAGAGGAACCATGGGGGGGGGAGACATAATTTGGTTGAGTGCCAGTTTGGTGAAGTGGTTAAGGCACCAGGCTAAAAACCTGGAGACTCATAAGGGAGTTCAGGTCCCACCTATGGCACTAAGCCAGCTGGATGACTTTGGGCCAGCCACTCTCTCACAGCTCCAGGAAGCAGGCAATGGCAAACCACTTCTGAAATCTTGCAGGAATTTTTCTAGGCAACTAGAGCCGAGGTGGTGCAGCAGTTAGAGTGCAGTACTGCAGGCCACTTTAGCTGACTGTGTTCAGCAGGTCAGCGGTTCAAATCTCACCGGCTCAAGGTTGACTCAGCCTTCCATCCTTCCGGGGTAGGTAAAATGAGGACCCAGATTGTTGGGGGCAATGTAAATATATACATACATTGCTTACTGGTGTACACCGCTTAAAGAGTGCTTGCACTTAAAGCAGTATATAAGTCTCATAAATAAATAAATAAATAAACCACCAGTAGTCAGGACTGACACAAAGGTATTGTTGTTGTTTTTTTACAATTTGTCCCTTCATGACAAAAAAAACAAACTGTACAAGATTTATCAGCTGAACTAACTGGGAATACACAAGAGGCACTTCCTGATCAAACACAAGGACAATGAAGTCTTTGTCTTAGACCTGTAATAGTATAATTACACACACACACACACACACACACACACACACACACACAAACAGAACTTGAGAGCCACTGAGTTCAACAGTTCAATACTCTCTGTTAAAGGTGTGCAGATTTGCAGCCTAGACACTTTTTAAATTGGAAGTATTAAGATAATATTCTCTCATCTCCATGAATTCTTATCTAGCAATTTCCAGTGGTAAAAGATCACTTTATATTTTCCTATGGACTGTACTTATGTTCTTGATCCTTTAAGAGAAAACAACTGTGTGCATGGTTCCCTCACCCACCAGGGTTGTCTGATACCCCTTAAACTGGATTTTTTTTGCAGCCTTAACACTTTGGGAACTTTCCCCTCACTATTTTTCTCCTAACCTGATCCTGCAAATAGATCCAAACAGGATGCGAAACCTTTTAATACTTATTAGGGAGCATGTCCTAATGATCTGTGTAGTCCGAAAGCAACTAATTCAGATCTAAGACATCACCAGTTTGAATAGAACCAGTGAATTCTATTCACTTCTCTCCCCCTTCTGAGCATCTTGATAAAGTCATCCAACCAAAATCACAAACTGTAGTAATGAAGCAGTCTGTAGTAAAGGTGCCAAACAGTCTATAGTAAAGGGGCCAAAGAAAAATTTTTTAGAGGCAAATTGTTAATGACTTGCAATGTCTGTTTTTGGATTTTCTTAAAATTAAAATTTTCTGACCTGCCCCAAAGTCTTTGATTTTGACCCAGAACAGACAAGACAACATTAATCTTTTTAGAAACAGATTAACTCCACACATTGACAAATCAACACGCCAGTAAACAAGATGTTTTTAATTTAATTCTAAATAAAGAGATAAGAAATAATAAATCTTCAATAAAATATATAAAATTGTACAAAGCATCCCTTTCAAAGGGATTTTCATATAGGCTAGGGACGGGTGGGTAAAAGGCCAGCACTGAACTAATAGACAAAAGATTCACAACATAGCCTGTAGCAGGGCAGATTCCTTCTCACTCTTGAGGACATACTAAAGACACAACTGGGAAACGTCTAGTCTTCAGTAACCCGCCTCCTCTGTAGACACTTTACCACAAGGTTTAGCCATATTAATAATAAAACAATTAAAACAATGGGTTATATAGTACCTTATATGCCAAGCATAACTCTTTCCTCCCTGCCCTCCTCTGAAATAAGTCAAAAAGAGGAGAGCTGTCCTATCTTTAGAGTGGGCGAGACAAACTTTGTTCTCATAGCTTTGTTTCATTCTCTGGATTTGTGGGTGTGTCAAGACTCATTGAAGCGTAAATTCATTTTTACAAGCTAATAATGGTTAAATCATAAGATTATTGCAATAAACACAAAACAACTCTGCAACACAAAACAACTCTGGTTTCATCATGTCTCTGCACATATGCACAACTCTTATATCCTCTTTTCCTATCTCTAACCTGTTTGTTCCCAATATCAAAATGTCAATTGAACTGCAGACTTGATTTAAATGATTAAATGGACATGGGGGGGGGGGCAACTGGGTTCAAGACAAATCTGAAAGAGGCCTCTTGGGTTTTCCTCTGCCATGGCATGCCCCTGTAGCCATTCGAAGGCTGTCTTACAAACAAGAATAAACTGCAAACAAAAACTTGGCAAAACTTGTATCTGTAGAAATCCTTTACAAGATAGAAATGGGGAGTCCCACTTCATGGGTGCCATTCTACAGGAAATATTCCAGGAGGGAATTTTATAAAGGAATCAGATCAACAATCCACCCCATCCACCATTTTGCATCTGAAGTATTCCAGTTGCATTTCAGTTTCCAGGACTGGAGTGCAGTGAAGGGTCCAAAGAGAAATACAGAAACCAACCCAGTCTCAAGTCAGCTTTTATTTCTGAAGTTGGTTTTATAAATACGTTGGTTTTCTATATGTTTAAGCTTCCTCAATCAGTCAAAGAATACATGTGTATTTTTACCTCCATGCCTGCACTCACACCACTCTATGGGAATAAGTACTACTGAACAAAGTGAGATATATTCCTTCTGAGTAAACAGGCATAAGAAAAGTTTCTCACTTCAAGGTGTGTGTGTGTGTGTGTGTGTGTGTGTGTGTGTGTGTGTGTGAATGATATTCCACAGGTTTACTGGGAATTTCCAGGAGGCTGGTAATTAAATCATACATTTTCATGGGAATAGTTATCACTGTAATCCCCCTTCCCTATGCAGTATATAAATAAACTATATTCCTTAAAGTCTGCATATTAAAAAAAAAACTTGCATTCACGATCAGATTCTAGCTGGTGAGCTCACATTTGGTTGGTTCCCAAGTTGCGGAATACGGGTTCTGGGTTCAAACTCCTAGGTATATATTTGATAAGGCACATTACAAGTAGGTGGAAAATAACCAGTCATGGTTCTGTACAGCACTTTTTAACTGAGTACACTCCATCATCCCTTTCTGGTCTTCTTATGATAAGTGATACATGCTGTAGCCCACAGGAGTAGCATAGAGTCCTACAGGTGGGATGGGAAGCACAGGTCTGTGAAAGGGATATGATGTTCCATAGAGAGAGGCTGCCTGGAGAGGCGAGTTGATAGGGAAAGGCAGGCTAAAACCGGATGGTAACATGGGCTTTGCTGCCATTTTTAACTTCTCCAGCTCTGCTTCCTGCAGTCTTTTTGCCTTGGCCCTCCGGTTCTGGAACCATATTTTGACTTGGGTCTCTGTAAGGTTGAGGGAACTTGAGAATTCAGCTCTTTCAGCAATGGATAGATACTGCTTCTGACGGAACTTGCGCTCTAAAGCTAGCAGCTGGGAAGTTGTAAAAGGTGTTCGAGGCTTCCGATTGGTCTTGTGTTTTCTCAACGTACAGGCTGTGGGACTCAAGTGTCCTGGAAGTAAAGCAAACAAAGATCAATTACTTGATGAGGTGAGAATTAGATGGCCAAATGCTAGGAATAGCAACTTTTTTTTCTTATACAGTATAGACCATATAAAGAGCATAAATTGTTGGGGAAAATATAATGTCCATAGCCTAATGAAGTAGGAATATAAAAGCCTGTACAGGAGTGGCAACTAAGCTTATTTCACAAAATGTGCAACGCGCACACTGATGCCAATAAGATAAAGCATTCCATTTTGAAAAAGTACATGGGTGAGAGTATATGAAATGACATAGAACAAGAACATTCAGATGTTACGGAAGTTTTAAAATGGAGAAGGAATTAATTGTGAAATGCTGGCTTATAATATCCTTTTATTTCATAATGTGAATATCTTAAGATTATTCTTAGCAAAATCAAATTATCAGATAAACCTCCCATGCCCACACATTAAAATATTACATTAGATCAAAGCAATCACCCATCCAATCCATTGTGTTTATTAATTTAGCCAATATAATCCACTTAACTCAGAGTCTTTATCTGCAGTGTTTAAAGTCTTCTGCAACTTAGCAAATCAAACACACAAGAGTTGCTTTATGATTAGCAGTCTATTTGGAAACTCTCCTGGTGTGAGAGCTATTTCACACACATTACTTAGCAGTCAAATTTGGGGTTTATCACCAAGCACACAGTTGATAGGGATATGTAACCAATTGTTGTTTTCACTTTATCTATGCAATACATGTGTTTGACACAGTATCACTACCCAGTTTGAAGTGTACACTTTGCACACTCTGGCAATACCAATAGAAAACAATGTGAATGGAGTAATAAACAACGGTCTATATGTTTATAACAATACTTTAAATTCCTACATTAGAAATATTAGAATTTACCAAGAAAGTTTAGCATTTATCATAAATGTCTTATTCCACTACAGGAATCCAGTGACCATGTGTATTTCTCCAAGAAAGTGAGTAAAGAACAAAGGTTGTGATATACTGAGAAATATCATACTTAGAAACAGTATGTCATACTTATGTCAGTATAACATTGCACAGTGCACATCTCACAATGTGCATTGTGACAGAACAGCCCACAATTTATATGGCAGAGTGTTGCCCAAATTTATCCTTCTCATATTCTGTATCCCCAATATCACATCAAGAAGGAAGGAAATCAGCTTGTTACATAATCAATAACTGGCTAGCTTTCCTTTCTGCAATAATTTATTCCATGCCAGGTAGCCTAGATAAAATAAGTTATTTTTTTATTTTGATTTGACCATCTCACAGAAAGTGGCCCTGGGCTGCGTACAATAGTCCAATAAAACAGTAAAGAAACTTATGGAAGATAAAGACATTGAAAGGCCTCCATTTGGAAGAATAAGAATAAACACATATGCTGCCTATATGTTCATTTTAGTACGTCTTGGGAAAACAAGAATTTTAATAGGTTATAATTGAAGCAAAAGGGGAACATAATACTAAAAGAAACTCAGCTAGGTGAGTTTATTTTTTAAGTCTTGTAAGTGGTAGAAAACTAGATATCACATCAGTCACTACATGTTATGATTTATCTAGCTGAAATATTTTTGAAGTTTTGCCTACAGGCACTAGTATAAAAGCTGATAAGTTTTTAAATTTGTTTGTTCAAGTCTATGTTCGGTTATATGACTTCCACTGAAATTAAGGCTTGATTGATATATATGTGATGTTTGAACAAAGTAGATTATCGCCTCTCTGTTGGAATTAATTTAGTTTCTTGTATGTTTAGGCAGCAGTGGCAGGTGGGAGGGGGAGAGATGGAGATCAAAAGGACGTGTATTGATTTAACATACAGTTTTTGTGACATGTGCTAATCCTGAAAATATATATTCTGAACAAATATGGGATTTATCATATTCTATTACTACCCAAGACCTTTAATTGGGGAGGCTGCAATTCTTTTCAGCATGCTCTGCATATATCCAGAGGTTCAATAATATGAACTATTATTTTCAATTCCTTGGAGAAAGAATAACTGCCAGCATCAAAACCCACACATTTCTTAGTCCTACTGTGCCACATCAATCATGATGGCTTACTTCCAACACACTTCGTGAAAATCACAGTCTTAAGGAAGCCACTTGTAAACTTAAGAGTGCAAACTTCTGCTGGTTTACTCAAAAGTGAGTCTCTTGTGTTCAGGTTAGGCTCGCTCCTTTATAAACATATTTAGGGTTGCAGATTCAGAATAAGCTGGAAGAGGGAAGAGGCAAATTTTGGCTATCTCTACATGCCAGATTTACTTATGCATATCTTTAACATGGTTTCCTGAACTGACTCAATTTCTTATATTCCTACTCCACAAACAAATGACACAGGCTATTTTCACAGAACCCATTAGGTGTTTAGCCAGTTTGTGACCAAGAGGGTAGTATAAATCCAGTGAAGCTTTAGAATAGTGTGGAATTAAAGAACAAAGTAAGTAGTTGCTACACTGCAGAATCAATGCTAAAAATGTCATGTCAGTGGTCTGTAAGGGCTCTTTTTTTTTCTTTTACTCTTGTCAATCTTTTTTCAGTCTTTAGAAAGAATGTTCAGAAATACGAAATACAGTAAGATTGCACTCCTATATGCACACTTATAGAGAAGCCACTCCCAAGTAAATATTTCACAGAAATAGAAATGAAGTTATTTTCATATTTCACTTAGGATTATGTTGTAAATGTCATCAACATGCTGTAGAAATAAAGGCTTTATCTTAAAGTGTATTAATTGTGAATGGAATAGGTTTTTGATAATGTACGTAGGTTTTTTTTTACTATGATCCATATTGAAAAAATCGTTCAGTTTTCCTCAGTTCTCCCTAGCTAAAGCAAAGCACAAATGGTCCGTAAACAATGATTCTACATGTTGATGAATAAAGTTGATAAATGGAAGAACCGCTTCTTTTGTGGTTTAAGATATTGTTAAAAATCATAAATGATTTGTAAATGAAGAAATCTTACTGACTCAAAGATGTTATCAGAAGGCAACATTTAATATGTTCTCATATTTGTATAAGAGTTTTGGTAAGCTACGAAAAATGTGTTAAACCGTCAAGTTATTCAAATGCATAGATAACTTCGGTTTAACTGGGTTTAGGTTAGGAAAGTATACATAAATTTAATTAGAGTGTTATGCCCCTATTGATAATAGAGAGGACAAGAAGGGAAGGTCTATATCTTCTGACTGAAGCAATAAAGCACAAAGCAGTAGTTTTACTTAATGGAAGTTGATTAATAACTAAGGTTCCAAATGGCATTACATCTGCTTTTAAAATATGATGTGCATTATAAAAAATATATAATTGCTGTAATTGCTGTAATTTTTAAATTGTCTTCTACAGTAGCTTGCCATCTGTCATATGGTCTCATTCCATTTACTGCCACATTTCGTCACCATAGTATAACTACAAAAAAAAGTTTTATTACTATTTACAAAATATATATTGAGCAACAGCTGGAAGCTATCCCTTGCAATTTTATCAGAGGTATTTCCTTCCAAGCAGTCTAATTTTGGGCATTTTTTCCCCTTATACCGCAGGTGAATTTTAGTTTATTTGGTTATTTGATGAGACCGGATCTTCTCCAGATAAGATTTTTCCTCTTCAGGAGCAATGAGAGTTAATTTGCAGATTAGTAGGCCTGAGACTTTAAAATACAATCCATGGGAGCAAATTCCACTGAAGTTAACAAAAGTTATTTTTTGATTATACAGAGGTAAGATTACTTGTCAAAATAATACAGTAAAGGGGACAGAATCTCAAGCAGGAGTACTCTACCTTTCAGAAAGTAATATTGCATTATGATTTTTTTTCCCCTTTCACTTTTCTTTCAGTTGAAAACACATTTAGGTCATACTGAAATCTGGTGCAATTTTAATTTCTAGGTAAAATGATTTAAGATGAGTTTGGGACTATTTTAAAAGTTTTTTTAATTCGTCATTTCTAAAATCTGAATTCACTGCATGGGGGGGGGAAGCAGAAATGTCAGTGTATGCTTTGCAGAAGTTATTTTACTTTGCTTTATTTTTTCAAGACTATCCTTTCACATTTGTCTAGGCAGACCTTCTAAATTGGGCTGCAAGTCAGATTTAGACCATTTTGGGGTTGTTTGATCATGTGACGGGAATGATCAGGGTGCAATCCTATCCAGATTTACTCAGGAATTAAGATTGATTGAATATAACCAGGCAATAGAACCAAATAGGAAGAAGAAGCACAATCTTTGATTGCTTTCAGGATGATTTTACAGAAAGGTGTGTGGGAAACAAAGGGATGGCAATAGTTATCTTAGTTTCTGTGTTTTCCCCTCCAAACAAGGTTTCCCTTGGAAGTGTTTTATACTCAATAGTGACACTTTTTAAAACAGTGTACTTTGATCCTAAACGTACCTACTAGGAAATATATTTCATTAAAACTGGTAAGCAGAGTCTGACAATACTTTTAAAAACGAACCCAGTTGTGACACAAGTTTTCATTGGCCAGACTCCATCATTGGTCAAATGTAAGACCAAAACAGCAATAAGGGCCATAAAAAAATTAATAGAATATCGAGAAGACACTGCAGTTTGTTTGCACTAATTTTCTGGAATTAAGAGAGCTGCAAATAAAATAAGCTGTTTTCTCATCTTCTCCAATGAATCAGAAGAGGAGGTTGATACAGGGGAAACAAGTATCTTTTGAGGAACTGTTTTTGGGTCAAAAATATAGAAGAGAAGGGGTCCTTCCTTCCTTCCTTCCTTCCTTCCTTCCTATGGCAAGTTGATTTTGGGGGAGAAGGAACTCGGTTAAGACTTTTAAAATATATTCATTTCAAAAACCTACTTGCCACGAGCTAGGTAGGTGTACCAGGATGGCTTTTTTGGCTACAGCTGTCTGGTTTCCTTTTACCACTAGCTCTTCCAGAGGTAATGGTTTTCTCCAGTGGATTGTTGCCATTTATTTCTTTAAGATGCCAAGAACAAAAAGATTTGTATATCTGCCCCAGATATGGTTGTAGCTTGTTAATAAACATACCCTGTCAATATGGGCAATAAAAACGTGACCCTATTTTATGGCATAATCCCTCTGATGTGTAGATCACTCCATTGTCTTTTTAGGGCAGAAAGGCTCCTGGAGACAAAACGAGAAAAAGGAAAGAAGGTGCGGCTGAACCGCCTAGCAGAGCCGAGGCCGGGGCTCCTTTTGCGACCCAGCGGACCTCGAGCGAATCACTCGCGCGGTCCAGGCGAAACGGAGCGGGAAGTTGCCAACGGATTTATATAAATGAGCAAGGCGAACCTTCCTCGTCATCCGGAGTTCTTTGGTTCCCGGGCCTGGACTCTGCCGACGGGACTAGGCAGTAGAAGGCAATCGGCGAAGCCTGGAGGCGGCTGTTGCTACAGGTGCACGGAGGAAGGCACCGGAGGGCGCTGAGCGCAAGGATCGTCCCTCGCTCGCCTCGCTAGAGAGCAAGCCACGATTTTGGCGGCGGCGGCGGCGGCGAAGGAAGGAGCAATAGAGAAAGGGGGGGAACTAAGGGAATTAAGCAGAGAAACATACTTTTCACTGCTGGGCGCGGGGGGGGGAAAGGTAAAGTGGCGAGGGGCGATTGAGGTCTAAGCAAGGCAGCGGGAGCAGCTCCCTTCTGCTCTCGAAAGGCAGAAGCTGAAAATTATAGGTAAACATGGATCCGAATGATGAGAGAGAGAGAGAGAGAGAGACGGACGCTCGGACTTGGGGGGGGGGGAAACGGGATCTAGCTGAGCCTTGAACTGCGAAGCGTCAGTGAGTGGCGCCAGGCCCGCGGCGTCTCTTTGGACAGTTCCGGGACAGTCGGCAGCTTAAAGGGGGCGGCTTTAGCTTCAATTTAAGACCGCGTCGCCAGCGAGTCAAAACGTTTAACTCGCGGCGCACAAACAAAAGAAGCCGCTTGAAAACTTTAGGCCGAGAGACCGCGCCGAAATTATTCATCGGACATGCGCCCGGCTCGCCTGCAAACCGCAGCGTTTTGCCGAGGGAAGCCCGCCTGGGGATTCCAGCCTGACGAATGCTTGCTTTCTCCGAATTTTTTTTTTTTTTTTTTTTAAACACTCGCAGGCACTGTCCCCTCCCGCTCTTCTAAAGTCCGGACAATGGCGGGGTGGCAGTTTCGTAGGGGCAGGAGGGGGTGAAGCCACATCACACACACACACACACACACACACAACCCGCTGACTTGGTCTCCCCACTTCATTCTACTAGCGCCCTTCGACCCTCCTCCCAGGCTAAAGCACTCACTTGGGGGAGGGGAGTATCTACCGGCCTCTGGAATCCAGGACGAGCCATCCTCGGAGTTTTCGGACTTCACCGACGAGGTCTCGAAGGTTTTTGTAAGCCCGCCGGGGCTGGGAGCTTCCCTGGAGACGTGAGTGGGCAAGAGCAGGTTCCTAGAAGTACCCAAGCCAGCCCCTTCGAGGCTTCCGCTGGCTTCTCGGAGCGGCTTCTTGTCGGACATCAGCGCTTCCACGCTGAACGGCAAACTGGAGACCTTGACTTTGTGGTGATCCTCAAGAGCAGCGGGGCCCTCTTCGTCCGAGGAGAAAACCTCCTTGGCTTTGGAAGGAGAAGACATCTCGGCGCAGCTTCGCAAAGATCCCTGCGTGGAGAAGCAGCCGCCCTTCGTCTCGCTGCCGCCGCTGCCGCAGCAGCCGCTGCCGCCTCCTCCGCCTTTTTTCTTCTTCTCCTCCTCCTCCTCCTCCTCCTCTTGTTCCCGAGTCCAGACCTCCCAATCAATCTCTCGCTCAGGCGCTCCTGGACGCACCACCTCCGCTCACTTCAGCCCCCGACAACAGACCAACTTTTTTTTTTCCCTCCCCTTTTTTGGGAGACTTCTGGCTGTTTCCTCCTTTAGGAAGTTGAGTAAGCGCGGCTCAGCAAATGAGAGCTGCCCGGGATGGCGACGTAAGGCGGTGACTCATGTGATTGGCTCTGAGCGGCCCGGAGTATAAGAAGGGTTTTTTTTCTTTCCCCTCCTTTTAAATAAATTAGAAGTTAATGACATGGGCAGCAAACGGAGCTGTGTTATTAGGGAGCTTTCCAGTTCTGTAACCCTGCCAAACAACAGGAAAGTCAGTGGAGTAATTAGGACTGATGATACCAAAAGGAAACTCTGAGAGAGCAGATTTCAACTCCCCCCCCTTTTATATATATATATATATATATATATATATATATATATATATAATATATATATATATATATATATATATATATATATATATATATATATATATATAGACTCTCTCACCCTGGGAAAAAAAAAGGGGGGGGAGAGAAAGACTGCTGGGTTTTCAGCCAAAATCGCTTGAAAACTAGACAGCCGTTCCCCCTGACGACAGCCAAGTCCGAACTGAGGAGTTTACATAATAGTGCCGCCATCTATTTTGCCCATACTGAAAATGCAAGGAGGACTAGGTGGAAAATCATTGTCTCTTTAGAGAGCCGCTGCTTTCGGGGGGCGGGGGGGGGGCGGCGGGGATGGGATGGGGGGAGAGAGGAAGAGAAGGGAGGAAGGGTGGTACAAGGCAGTGGTATGAATCACTTCCAGGTTAGGGAGGTGGAATGGACGTCCTCTGGGCAGAGCTTCTCTTAGTGGAAGCGAAACCCACGCAGCCTCAAAGCGTGGCCCGGGATACTGAGGCTCCCTTGGGAAAGAGGGGGAAACGGGCGAGCTGCGCAAAGGCTCCCGGCGCGAGTCGGCGGTGCTCCGAGACGAGGCCTTTCCAACGCCTCCGCTAGCGCTTCTCCCCCTCGGAACGGCGAAAGGAGACCCTCGCGGGACAAGGACGGAAACTTGCCCTGAGGAAGGAAGGAGTGAGTGGGAGGCGGGATGAGCTCCCGAGGCTGCAGATCTCCGGGGATTTATTTCATCAGAGGCAGCCGACTCTGTTCCCACCACCTCGCCGAGAGACTTGGGACTTGGAGTTTCTCACTTTGTCCAGGAATCCTTTCCCGCCGCTCTAAGGGGACACATTCGCGAACGCGTTTAGCGTGTTGGAGAGAACCTGGGTTGGTTTTTTTTTTAAATGTTTTTTAAAAATAATTATGTCGGTAATGCTAAGTTGCAACAGGCGCCTTAGCCCTGATGACAAACAGATGCATTTTTAATAACCCTGAGTCGGCACTCTTTCACTTGCGAGCGCATCAAACAGCCTCAAGGAGGGCAATTGTCACCCTGCGCTTTTTTCCTCCCCCACCCTGTGCCATTAAGGCCAAGGAGGTGGATTCGATTTAAACGGCATCACAATTAGCAGCTCGAGAAAAGTAGATCATTTTTTTTTGGGGCTTGGCAATTAATTTTAATCTGTTGATGATAGCTAGCTAATCATTGGCTGATAACTATCGTGGCTATTAAAAGAAGCAGGCAGCCTGGGAAGCGGTGGGGAGGACGATCAGGTGACGGTGTTTTCGAGAGGGGGGGAGAGACAGAACCGCAACAGAACAACCCTTTCCTTCAGCAATATTCTCTGGTCTCAAGCCCCCATTCTTAAAGAGAGAGAAAGAGGGACGCCCTCTTATTTTGATCTCATAAGCACTTATTTTCCAAGGAGTTAATTTAGGATTAGTTTAAGCGAAGGCGGCTCGAATCTTTTCAGCTTGCTTTAGCCAGCCCAGAGGATAGAGAGAGACTGGCAAAAATAAAGAACTGGCCTTGGTCGGTTATGTAAAACTGCTGGTTTTAATGATAAATCTGCCATTATCGCAGTTATTAGGTGCCTCCCCAGCATTGTTGGACTTTCCATCATTAGCTAAAAGGGGAAAAGCGAACGGTATTTCAAGCCGAACCTCTCCCCCACCCCACCACCCGGAACCTCGGCCTGCAGCTTTATCGGGGGAGAGGCGATGCACACCAAATTTATCCCAATTTCTGCTTCCCCGAACTTTTTTGAGCAGTGGTTTTGGCGAAACAGATGGCTTTGGCTTGCTTACTCACTTCTTTTTTTGAAATAAGACCTGTTGCTTGCCTGTTCGCATCTTTTCCATTTGATCATTAATGCTCAAAATAAAATAAAAAAAAACTAATTTGCTGCCTTACTCAAGACGATAGAGATCACCATTTCCTTGTTTATGAGAAGGCTGCCAGAGTGGCAGGCGAAAATAAAGGCTGTCCCCCTGTCCTGCGGGGTATGGAGACAGTTGCTTTGATCGGGGTGTTTTCCACCGCCCCCATCCCCCACCTTAGTCCGAAGCCATTACTTCCAGCAGTGGATGTGAGAGAAAAACCGCTGGACTTCGGAGGGTGGACAGTCCACCTCCCGTTGAAACCATGGCAACACCCCTATGGAATTCATCATAGTGCCTTCAGGAGTCTGAAAGGCTGTGCAAGAAAACACATGGACTTTCAAAGTAATTGCTGTTATTGTCAGGTCTTGCAGCCAATTACTATTGTTATTATTACTACTATTATTTATGTTACCTATTGCATAAAAGCAGCAGTCACTTAGGATCACAGGCTACTGAACTCATCCTAAGGAAAGCTGCGCCGGGTTAGAGCTGCAAGTTATTCAAATCAGCCCCTTAAACGTTCTGAATCGCGGAGAAGAAGGCGCAAAGTTCTTTTTTTCATTTGCCAACCCAGCCCCGAAGCTTCTAAAGTCCACCTTTCACTTTAAGGCTCTTGCGTATCTACAAAGGGGTGCCGCTTGGATAAAAGTGTGGACACCTCCAAACTGACCCACGTCTGTACCCCTGGGTCTCCTCCCTAGCACCAAGTCCCGCAAATGCCAGGACCAACTTGGAAGCGCTCTGTCTCCGAGCTCGGTTGTTTTCTTACATTTCATTACCCAACGAGGTTAACATCTTCAGCTGGGTAATGAAGTGTCTGCAAGAAAACAGCCAAGCTTGGAGAGCATCAAGGACCCTTCAGTTCAACCTTGAACTACAGATATTCTCTTCCATGGATACGACATGCCTCCGTTTGAGAAGTATTTTAGATTAGGTAGGTGAACCAATTATTCCATTAAACCGGAGTAGACAGAACTTGAAATAAAACCTTGGGGAGGTTAATCTTCTCTAATTCTCCCACCCTCTTTTATCTGAGTTATTACTACCAGTACCATTTTTAAGCTATTTTCAAAACTCAAGACTGTTAAACAGATAGCCAGCAAGAACCAAACACCCGAGTGGCAGAAAGTGAGCAATTTGTTGACTTGAGTCCTCTTTGCAAAACCATCGGCGTTGGGGTAGCAACCAGCCTGCATCCCGATTCTCCTCCCACCCTCAGTGACAGGAAAATTAAAATTGATGAAAACGGAGAACAATGTAAGTAAACAGGAACAATGTAAAAGCTAATGACGCTCCAGTCGAAAAGCTTCAGATAATTACCCCGAATCAATGCAACGCTTTTACCCACAATGAATGTGAACAGGCATCAGGTTAGGTCAAAATGACCTGGTTTACAGTTCGGGCGTATTGGACTCTGTGTCTTCAAACAGACGGGTTAAGGCTTTTGAATTCTCCTAGCCTTTTATGCTCCCACCTTTCTCCCTCCCTTCTTTTTGTTACTGGTTCAGCTTGGTCGTCTGCCCAGCTGAGTCCCTTTTAGTTTTATTTTGTTTTATGATTTGCTGGTTTTGTTCATTCAAACCATATTTGGTAATTTCAGCCGCTGGCAGTTTTGCTTTGTTTTTTTTTACTACAGGTAGCAAGAGAAGAGATATCAACACCACTCGCAGACACCAATCCACCTTCCACGCCCTGCGCACAGGGCCTTTTTAGGAGATGGCAATGACGGGGGGGGGGATATTCCCATAGGCTTCAGAGACAGGAGGACCAAAGTATATGCTTCGGGATTTGAAACGCTCAACTGGATCAATCGTTTCATTCAAGGCAGCACAAATAATCCGTTCCATATAACTCCCCCCCAAGTATTATTTCAGTAGCTAGGACTTCCCAAGCCCCCTCCCCCTTCGCTAGGCCATTGAGTTCAATGGAGAAAATGTAACGGAGGGGGTGGGTGGGAAATGCATTGGGGGGAAGGAAGGCTCTCCGAGTCTTTGAAAGAGCTTCTTGATTCAACCCCCCCCCCTGCTCCCAGCCCCAAAGTATCGTTTCTGAAGGCAGCCAAAGGGAGCGGCTGGATGGGAAGGTTCGCTCTTGACCAGAATGGATCGGAGGAGTTCGAATCCAATACAGGCCCAAGGAGTTCAAAGGGCGTCCAAACGCCTAGAGGGCAACAGCCCGTCGCGTGGAAGGACTTTTTTCCCTGAAGTCAGTGGAAGCATCAACTTCTCGCCGTTCCGGGGCTTTGAAGTCAAAAGCTGGAAGGAGTGGGGGGGGGGGATTCGGGCTGCCAGTGTCTTTGTAAAGAGCAATACATCTTTCCCAGCGGGACGGCCTTTCGCCTGTTGACAAGGAAGGGGGGGGGGGTCTTTTCTTTCGGTAGGATGCCTTCCTAAAGGCGTATGCGCGTCTAGCCGACAGCATCAGAGAAGTGGAGCAGCCGATTCTGGCGGGGCTCGCTCTTGCTTTTCCTGAACTGACGCAGCGCATTAAACTAGCCGCCTCCGGGATGAACAATTCGTAGAACTGCACTCCCGAATGTTCGGGCCACAATTAAGACCCGGCCACAAACTGCAAGGGTCCCGAATTTTTTTCCCTGTTGGGCCTGCAGTCCTTTCTTCAACTGGAGGAGATCTCCCGATTAGGCAAGAATACCTACATGCCCTCTATTCGCTTGTAGCCGCGCTTTAGCCGCGCTTTCGCCACTCGGCCCAATTTGGTTCCTAATTCCCAATAAATTTGCCTTCCCCCCCCCACTTCAGGCTTGGCGTTTAGACA